GCCACAATGATAAATAAAAACTATGTTTATATATTGTTGAAAATTAAAATAGAAAAAAGTGTTGTTGCGATTAAACGAACAAATGACAGTGCCGCTTTTTTGTCGACAATACTGAAATCAATTAATATTCTCTGTAATCCAATAGATTGTGTCTTTTTTTATTGATTCAATCAACAAGAAAGAAAAAAAAAAATCTTTTTTTTTTTTTTTTCAACTGATGCCAACATCTAAAAAACATTAATGGCGGATCAGTAATCATTGAACCAAAACTGTTATTTATTTCAGAAAACAAGAAGAAAAAACAGCGACACACAGAATTGTAGCAAAAATAAAAATTGCAAATAATCGGGTTGTTGTTCTTTTACATTGGCAACAGTTCCTCTTTTTTTTATTTTGTGGCTTTTAAAGTTGGATTAGCAGTTAGTAAACTAAAAAAAAAAAAATACATCAACAGATATGTGCAGTATCCATTTATATAAATCAGTGCTTTCAGTGAGTGACACAGTATAACAGTGTAAATTACAACAGTCATAGAGTTATAACTGTTCATCTCAAAAATCCGCCGGACCCTTTCTTTTTTTTTTTTTTTCAGTGCTTAAGTCTATTTAGTGATAACTGTGCTATATTACTTACTTAGTTATTGCACTACAAAAGCTATATCAGCAAATCAGGCAATTTATCTTAATGTAGAATGAAAAAAAATAAGTGTACTGGGGGAAGTAAAATACAAAGTGAAAAAAAAAAAAAGTAAAAAGAAAATAAAAGTTTTTCTTTATCTTTCATATGTATAATTCTGCCTTTCACACTTTTTCATGGTATCACATTCAATAACATAAATACATCTTTCTTTTTTTACAATGATTGACCATTAACCTTTGTGGGCGCAAAACATTTTGCAATGGAAACCTTGAAAATATAATTTATTGCTGCAAAGAAGAATCGAGTTGCAACTCTGCTTGACAAATTTTATACAAAGAATGCCGAGTGAAATCGTGTAAAATATCAACATTTAAAAAGTTTAATGTCTTTTGCTGCCTCAACAATTTACCTCTGTTAGAAGACAATAAAAAAAAAAAAAATCTTTTTTTTCTTCCACTGTTAAACAAAGCAAATATTTTTGTCTATTGTTTTCATCTTACTTCATTCCTTATGTCTTATTCACATTTACGTTTTATTTGTACGGTATGTGTTGTTACTTCATTGCAAAATTTTTCAGTCTTTTTCTGGCTTCAAAAGCGTCAACTACCATTATAATTCAATGTTAATGAGATTACATCGCTCATTTTCTTCTATTTAACAAAGCTAAATTCCACCTCTTTCAGTTTCTTCAGATAACAGTTTTACCAATTTAACAGAGAAAAAAAAGTACAGTAATTTACCTATGTAACTGCAGAAGAAACAACAATTTCTTTATTTTTTTTTTCTTCTGTTAATGCGTACAGAAAGATTTAACTAATGAAAGAGATCATGACTTGTGGAACTGTTGCAAGAGGATAATAAAACATTGAAAACAGAGGTAGAACAATAAATAAGAATTAATTAGGTACAATGAAAAAAGATTCTAAAGAAGATAACAACAACTGCAGCAATAAACTTTGTTAGAGAAATGTGAAAGCATCAGCAGTGTTGTCAAACGCCAATGGTATTTGCCGATCACGCCCCCTAAAAAATTAAGTAAAACAAACAGAACACAATACAAGTGAGGACAAAATTGCAAACTTCGAAGCCGAATTTAAATCAGCTTGGAAACAAGTTATGTTTTATTTTTTTTGTTTGTTTTCAAAACCCTACTCATTAAACAAAAAAGGTTATGAAGAGACGACCTCGAAAAAGTCGTTAAATTTAGGTAGGTTTGAGTATAATCATCATAAAACTGGTGACTACAGTTGTATTTTGACTTAACAACTCCAAAAAAAGCATAAAAAGCAATGACTAAGACTAATTTCTAATTCAAAAAAAAAACTAGAAAAAAATTCAAGAATTTTGTCGGCACATTTGAAACCCCTGTCGTTCAAAAGAGAAAGAAGAATATTTTGTCATTTTTTGGCACTATAAGAAACTTCAGATTGAGCAAAATAAGAACTTTTTTGTCGAAATCAGAACAACAATTCGTTTTTCTTGCAGATTTGCTCTCTTTATGTCAAAAGATTAAAAAAAAAAA